ATCCATTGCCCAATTATGATAAAAACTCTCAGGAAAGTGGAAATAGAGAGAACATACCTCAGTGTAATAAAGGCCATATATGACAAACCCACTGGCAACATCATACTCAATGGGAAAAAACTACATTTCCCTTAAGATTGGGAATAAGATAGGGAGTCGGCTTTCACCATTCTTATTCAACATAGTACTAGAAATCCTAGCCACAGCAATCAGACAAGAAGAAATAAAAGGCATCCAAGTTGGAAAGAAAGAGTAAAACTGTTATTATTTGCAGATGACATGATACTGTATATAAAAAACTCCACCAAAAAACTGCTAAAATGGATAAATTCAGTAAAGTAGGATACAAAATTAATATTCAGAAATTGGTGACATTTTTATACACCAATTATAAACTATCAGAAAGAGAAACTAAGAAAACAATCCCATTTAAAACTGCAACAACAACCAAAAAAGGTACCTAGGAATAAGTTTAACCAAGGAGGTAAAGACCTGTACTCAGAAAATTATAAGATACTAAAGAAAGAAACTGAGGAAGATACAAACCAGTGGAAGCATATACCATGCTCATGGATAGGAAGAATTAACATCATACAAATGTTCATACTACATAAAGCAATCTATAGATTCAATGCAATTCCAACGGCATATTTCACAGAACTAGAACTATTCCAAAACTCTATATGGAACCACAAAAGACCCTGAAGAGCTTCAGTAATCTTGAGAAAGAACAAAGTTGGAGATATCATGCCACCTAATAGCAAACTACACTACAGGCTTCAGTAATCAAAGCAGCGCGGCACTGACATAAAAACAGACACATAGACCAATGGACAGAATAGAGCCCGTAAATAAACCTACAGCCTTATGGTCAGTTAACATTTGACACAGGAGGCAAGAACATACAATGGGGTAAAGATAAAACGTTACTGAGAAAACTGGACAGATATATGCAAAAAAATGAAACTAGACGCTCTTTTCACCCCGTATAAACTTAAAATGGATTAAAGATTTAAATCTTAAACTTAAAGCGATAAACATCCTAGAAGATGCCCTGCCGGCATGGCTCAGTGGTTGAGTGTCGACCTATGAACCAGGAGGTCATAGTTCAATTCCCGGTCAGGGCACATGCTCGGGTTGTGGGTTCGATCCTCAGTGTGGGGCGTGCAGGAGGCAGCCGATCAATGATTCTTTCTCATCATTGCTGTTTCTATCCCTCTCTCCTTCTCCCTTCCTCTCTAAAATCAATTTTTAAAAAAAAGTAATTTTTAAAAATCCAGAATAGGCAGTAAAATCTTGAACGTTTCTTGAAACAATATTTTTTTCTGACATATCTTCTCAGGCAAGGGCAATAAAAGAGAAAATAAATAAATGGGACTACATCAAATTAAAACGTTTTGGCACAGCAAAGGAAACCATCAACAAAATGAAAAGATAACCCACTGAATGGAAGAACACATTTGCCAATGATACATCTGATAAGGGGCTAATATCCAAAATTTATAAAGAACTTATATAGCTCAACAGCAAAAAAACAAACAATCCAATTAAAATATGGGTAAAAGATCTGAATAGGCACTTCTCCAAAGAGGACATACAGAGGCCAACAGACATATGAAAAGATGCTCATCATCACTAATCATCAGAGAGATGCAAATTAAAACCACAATGAGGTATCACTTCCCATTTGTCAGAATGGCTTCACCAATAAATCAACAAAAATAAGAGTAGGCGAGGTTGTGGAGAAAAGGGAACCCCCGTGCACTGTTGGTGGGAATGCAGACTGGTGCAGCCACCGTGGAAAGCAGTATGGAGTTACCTCAAAAAATTAAAAATGGAACTGCCGTATGACCCAGCAATCCCACTACTGGGAATTTATGCTAAGAATCCTGAAACACTGATTTAAAAGTAAATATGCACCGTGAGCCCATTGCAGTGTTATTTACAACAGTCAAGGTTTGGAGGCAGCCTGAATGTCCGTCAGTAGCTGAGAAGACAAAAAAGCTGCGGTACATTTACACAAGGGAACACTACTCGGCCATAAAAAGAAGAAAATCTTACCTTTTTGGATGGACCTGGAGAGTATTATGCTAAGTGACATAAGCCAGTCAGAGAAAGACAAATACGGTGTGTGATTTTACTCATCTGTAGAATCTAATGAACAAAATAAACAAAACAGAAACAGACTGACAGTGGTCAGAAGAAAGGGGTTTGGGGGCTGAGTGAAAATGTGTAGAGATTAAGAAAAAACCTCCAACATCTCATAGACACAGACAACCATATGGTGATTAAAAGAGGGAAAGGGGGTAGGGGAGGAAGAAGAGGGTAAAGGGATGACATAGTGACAGGAGACTTGACTTTGGGTGCATACACAATACAAATACAGATAATATATCACAGAACTGTACATTTGAAACCTATATAACTTTATTAACCAATGTCACTCCAATAAATTCAATAAAAATATTTAAAACAAAAAGGACAAATGACGAAGATCTTCGGGCGATCCGGTTTCAAGTTTCTCCCCAAGGGTCTTTCACATCCGCAGTTCCAGGATGTTCGCCATCACGCTGGCCCATGCTGGGAAGGCCGGTCTAGGCCGCCCTGAGCCTGGGCTGTTGGGCTGGCTGACGCTGAGCCAGCTGCTCCCAGAGCTCCGTGGGAATTCCAAGCCGGGACGAGAGTTCATCGTAGCTGGATGTTTCCACCAATTAAGCAAAATGATGCACCCAGCAATGATTACACAGGAGGCTGAGGCATCATGAGCAAGTAAAACGTGGCCTGCCTGCAGGGGGCAAGTGCAGTGCGCCTGGAACCGCAGAGGCCGCCACACACTGAGGGGGGTCACCGGGGCCACAGCCTGGGACCGCTAGGCCTCCAGGTGCATAGAGCCCCTCTCCACAGACCAGTGACCAGCGGATGCCACCTGCATCGGCACTGCTGGGAATTTCTTGCCGGATGCCCGATTCAGCACGAGCCAGACAACGCATAGGACACGAATGTCCGGGGACGTGCTTCGTTCAGGGGGTACGGGCCTCCCTGATGGGCCCCAAACAGTGGGAAACTACTGAGGGGTCACTTTTCAGGTGCAGACACTGGCCATCAGCAAACACCTGTGTGCGTGTGCGTGTGCGTGTGCGCAGCAGGACTTGGTTGCAGGTAATCAGATGTTGAACCAACAAAACCTGCGCTGTCCTGGTGCGTCCGGAGGGGGCGCGGGAAGCTCTCCTCAGAGGCCCCACAGAGCAGATGCAGGGCTCCCCAGGAAAGGCCCCTGACAGCGGGGCTTCCCGGGAAGCAGGGGAGTGGATTCTAGAAGGGGCAGCTTCCTTTCTCCTCTGCTGTGACACAGCCTCCGAGTGACACCTGAACAGCACACATACCTGACCAATCAGCACGCACAACTGACTGGTGCCAACCCCCCCCACCCCCACCCCCGCTAAAGTCCTCTGAGCACTGCCTCTGTGTCTCGGATACTCCCCTGGACCTCTGCGCACATGCCGAGTGGGGGGGCGGGGGCTGCTCTCCACCCATCTGCACACCTCCCGCTGGTCCTTTCTGGTAAGTTCTAGTGACGCCAGCTCAGGGCAGCTGCGTGGGGAATCACCGCCCAACAAGGACTAAGGACACGGAGACACTCGTTTGAAAACAGTCTGAATGTGCACTTGGTAGCTGGAGAAAATACTAGCAAATGTCACTGGGAAAAACTCATAATCAGACAGAAACAAAATATATTTATTAGAAATATTAGTCACATATCATACACTTTCAGTTAATCGTGCACCCAGCTCTGCTGGCCTGGCCTGCCCTGAGGACGCTCGGACCACCTGGTGAGCTTGTGCAGCAACAAGGCCACAGGTGTGTCGGCTGCATCCCACTCCCGTCGTTAACTCAGCACTCAGGGCCTCAGCAACTCTAACCGGGTCAGGGAGGCGACCTCCAGCGAACTCGGGCTTCTGGGACATTAACAACACACTCACTAGTGAACAGGCAGCCAGGCCACACCTTCACTGCATGTCCTTGGCAGTCGTCTCAAATGGCTCAGCTCTGGGAGCGGAAGAACTGGGGCTGCATTTGGCAGAGGGGTTTTCACAGACCCGAACCCTCCATCGCCGCACCCGCATCCGGTGAAAGGCCTGCCCTCGCCTCAGCGGGGAAGAGGGCGGCTGAGAACCCCTTGCCACGCCAGGCCCAGGCGGCTAAGTGCCGTGGGAAGTGCACTTTGTGTAACACCTGCGCACCAACGAAAGCTGTGAACAACAGATGGAGAAGGAATCCCGGAGGCTGCGCCCCTTTCTACAGTGAGAGGGGGCCCGGGTGGGGGAGTGTGTGTGTGCGGTTCCCCAGGACGCTACCCCGGGCGGCAAGGCTCGGCGTGCCGGAGACCAACCACAGCTCAAGGCCACGACACCAGCCGGTGCAGAGACCATACTTCTATGTCTTTTAAAAACCCCGCCTGCTCTTATGGGTCTTGCACATCACACGTGCTTTTTATATAAAAATAATACATTAAAAATAGGGTCTGCAGAACCACCAAGTACTTTTAAACGACTGAGCAGTGGCTGAAGGAAGATGGGAGAAACATGGCTGTTGTAGCCTCTGAAAACCTCAGGACAGGAAACGAAATGACACAACTCGCTGATGCCGCCTGGGTTTCTATTTATCTATTTCCCACATTCCCCTTGTGCTCTGAGCTCTCCAACTAAAAACACATTTAAAAACCCTGTTCTGTGGCTCAGCCCCGGCTGGGACAGCTTCTCCCCAGACCCTGCAGTGCCGGCCGGCCTGGCACCCAGCTGCCTGCAGGCCCCTTCCGCCCTCCACCGCGTGCCCACCAGCAACAAAATGGTAGTAAAGGAACTTCCTTGAATTATAAAAATAAGTTGGCACATGGTCTTCCTTTTGTATGGCATTCCCCCTCTTTCTAACCTGCAGAGAGCAGGACCGGCATGGAGGGAGGGGAAAGGGCCCCCCCCCCCCACCCCAGCCCCCCGCCTCCCCCCGCCCGAGCCTGTGCTGAATCACCGTGGGAGTCACTGCACCAGGCGCTGAGGGTGCTGACCCCCCTCCCATCCCAAGGCCTCAGGGTCTCTCCTGCACTAAGCCTCGAGGTGATAAGCCAGCACTGGCCGCTCACCCGCCCGGGCTCCGCCCCCACAGCGGTGGTGAGCAGGCAGAAGCAGTGGGAGAGGCAAGTGTCCCACAGGAAGCGGCCCAGCAAGGCTTTCACTTGCTCATTAGAGGAGGAGGGGACTTGTTCGGACGGCACCTCCGCCTCCACTGGACACCAAGGGCCAATGTGAAAGCAGCAACAGCACCTGCCAGGCCCCATGTGGCCACGAAGCCGCTCTCTCCTTCGGCTCAGGGACTCAGACAACACGCAGGACCCACACCTGATGGGCAGGCCAGGCGCTCCCCAGCGCCCCAGAACCTCCACAGCGTGGAGGGCGGGTGGGCCTGCCGGGTGGCCTGGAGGGAGGGCGAACTCGCCTCTCCCAGGACAGAGCTGGGCCTGGAGCTTCCGGCCCGGCTGGAACAGCGCCCCACCATGAGATTGACGTAAGCAGGGAGAGCGCTGTTGTAACACCCAGTGACCTGTGACAATGACCCTTGTCTGGGGGCACTAACACAGCTATGGGCACCTTCATTAGCAAGTGAAGGGCACTGATGAATTCACCCCGATTTACTTATGTGCACCGCACCCCACTTGCCATTTAATGTACATTTATTTGCCGCCAGGAACACCGAAGAACCACCGGTGGTTACTTGCTCAGCGTAACTCCCAGGCGAATGGGGCCGCTCGAGGGGGCTCTGCTGTCACTTAGAGTGACCCCAGAATAGCAGAGAAACTGCATTTCCACCTCTGCCCATCCTTGTTGCCATGTAAACATGAAGCCCAGCTGGAGTACTAAATGCTAAACAAGTCTAAAGTTGAAATGTTTAAATTTGCTGTCTGCCCAGTATCCCAAGAAATACACCCGTAGGCTGTTTCACTGCACAAATACCCCAAACCCCAGCAGACACAGGGATTTCACACGAGTGGCTTCCTGTCGGTTCATTCTGCACATGGGACAAGCGTGTGTGGGCGAGAATGGGAGTGGAGCAAATGGGAGGACAGATGGAGGAGGCGAAGTCACTGCAGCTTCCCTTCGGCATGAGCACAGGCAGCTGCGAGTGACCCAGTCCCAGCACTGCCACCCAGAGAACCAGGCTCCCACCTGCACCGCCGCCTGGAGAGCCAGGCTCCCACCTGCACCGCCGCCCGGAGAGCCAGGCTCCCACCTGCACCGCCGCCCGGAGAGCCAGAGCCCACCTGGAGGCCCCCACAGGACAGTGACGCGAACTACCCAGGGGCTCCTTCTCATTCTCCCATGCCCATCTTCCATCCACACAGCATGTGCAGGACAGTGGTCTCAAACTGTGACCAAGTCCTAGCTGTGCCGCTGTTACCTAGACCATAAGCGTACCACAGACGGCAGGGTTCACGTGTTCCAGGCTGCTTGAGAGCAAATGCTTATCTTTTGTTGGGTGTTTTTGGAGGGGGTGGGTGGGTAGAAGGGCAAGGTTTTTTTAAAGGCCAAAGCCGGGATGCTGGTAACGAGGGGACTGGCAGGAAGTGCTGGCTGTCCCTGGGAATCTCAGGGCGGCTCCAGGGGAGGCCACACAGCTGCACATACCACCCTGGGGTCTCCTGAGTCTGGAAGGAGGGAGGCCCTGGGAGAGCAAAGCTTCCCCAACTCACACCCCAAATGCATCTCAATTCAAGGTGGGTGCACGGTGGAGCCAGCTCTGTCTCATTTATCAGCTGGACCCCTGGATGGAACCTTCCTTTGAAACCCAGCAGCCAGGCCCTGGACGTGAGAGCAGGGCCTGTGGAGTGACCGGGGCTTCCGGGACGATGGCAGGTGGCGGCTGGCGGGCCCCGCAGGCTTAGGTCTCGAAGTACTTGTAGATCTGGGCGACGTACTGCATGACGCTCTGCCAGTCTGGCCGGTCTGTGTGCAGCATCTCGCTGAGCTCCTGCGGGAGGAAGGGAGAGGTCACGGGCGCCACACACCCTCCCTACAAAGCAGCCCGGACCCAGGCCAGGGCTGCGCTGTGAGAACCCCCCGCCCGGGGAGGCGCAGGTGCAGGCAGCACCAAGGCAGTGGGAAATGTGATCGGGGAAAAGAAAAGCTTTTTCCTCTTACTCAGAAGACACCTTCCCTTTTAAAAACATGGGACATGACCTCCACCCTGCTCACCTGTTAACAACATGGCAGCTTTAAAAAAAGTGTGAAAAGAGGAAGTCACCCTAATTCCGTTATCCTAAGGGTCTCCACTTCTCTGGGTTCCCTGTGACTGCCACACCTGCTTCCCACACTGACCTCCCACACTGCCACTGCCGCTGCCGAGGGAACTGCTGACCACTTCCCAGCACCCGGCCGCCTATGAGGACCCGGCCACCTCCCAACACCTGGCCACCTCCTAGGACCCGGCCACCTCCCAACACCTGGCCACCTCCTAGGACCCGGCCACCTCCCAACACCTGGCCACCTCCTAGGACCCGGCCACCTCCCAGGACCCGGCCATCTCCCAGGACCCGGCCACCTCCCAGGACCTGGCCACCTTCCAGCGCCCGGCCACCTCCCAGGACCCGGCCACCTCCTAGCGCCCGGCCACCTCCCAGGACCCGGCCACCTCCCAACACCCGGCCACCTCCCAGGACCCGGCCACCTCCCAGCGCCCGGCCACCTCCTAGGACCCGGCCACCTCCCAGTGCTTGAGGGGCAGCTGTGTTCACGTCATATCACACACTCTGCAATAAGCATCTTTGGGTGGTTTTGTTTCCTTCTGTTGAATTAGTGCCTTAGGATGCATTCCAAGAATGGGATTACCTCCAAATCCTCCAACCAATTTAAAATGCAAGCATTTGTTTTACCAGAATCCTGTTACCATGCAATGCTTTTTGGTTACCCCTCTGCCCCAACTTAGTCAGCAACAAGCAGGTGGAGACCAGAGGCCAGAAAGTGCCAGGCAACAGGGCTGGAAGTTGCCTGAAATCCGTGCCATTCAATGTGCTTGACAATTCACTTGGGGCTGAACTCGTATTCTCTCGTGGCCACAGGAAAGCGGGGGAAGGACCCGGAGTAAAGGCAGAAACAAGCGCAGCGGAGCGTAAGGCTGGGCTCCGCATGGCCTGGAGCCTGGCATTGCTGGCTCAACATCTCAATACAGTTCATTGATTCTGCTCCCTGGTGACACTAAGAAATGATCAGCATATCACTGGTCGTGAAAGGGGTGGAGAAGGAGTAAGTGGAACATTCTACACACATACACCTAAAAAAATTGAAAAAGAAAGTTTTCACAGAATATAAGGACAAAAAGTCTCCTGCCTAAACTACTTAAGGGAGAAATAAAACCAATTCGACACAATCTCTTCCGGGAAACAGAAGAGGACGGAACACTCCCTAATGCATTCTGTGAAGCCAGCATTACCCTAATACCAAAACCAGACAAAGACTTTACCACAAAACTACAGATCAACTTCCCACATTAATGCCGACACAAAAATCCCCAATAAAAGAAATATTAGCAGATTGAATCATGGTGAGTCGAGGCTGGCTCAGCATCCAGGAGTCAATTAGCATGATTTATACCAACAGGCTAAATAAGGAAAGCATACGCTCCTATCAACAGATGCAGAAAAGCATTACACAGACTTTAATAACCATTAATGAAAAAGCTCTAAAATCTCTAGAAATAGAAGGGAATTTACTTTACATAATACAGAATAGACACCAAAACCCACAAGTGGACGTCATACTTAGTGGTGAGGAACGGAAAACTTTCCTCTAAGGTCAGGAGAAGGGACAGGCAGGCGGTCCTCTCCCCTCTCCTACTCGACCCTGTGCTGAGCGTCCTTGCCGGTGCCACGCGGCCGGAGAGACCCTGAAGGCACACAGGCTGGCAGGGAAGAACCGAATGTCTTCACGTGCTGACGCATGACTGTCTATGGGCAGCACGGCCCCGGTGGGCACGCGCTCGCCGGCCCTCCGCAGTCCCAGCAGCGATGCGCGAGCCTGCCTCACCTGTGTCACGCGATGGGCTGGAATGCTTGCTAACTTTTGGGGAAGAGAGTAGTGCTTTCACTTTTAAAAAATCTCGTCCTTACTCATACGCTACACCCAGAAACCTGTATTTAGCTGCAGGTACACATATAAGTGAGCACTTTTCTGACTCACAAGCTTGGGATGGGTATTGTGTCCATTCTGATGGGATGCATTTTAAAAGTGTCAGGAGTAATTATATTATTTTCCAATCCACATCAAGATAGTGAATAAAAAATTAATAACATAGGAAGTTTCTATTCTGTTGATGACAGGAACTGGTGAAATTGCTCACAAACATCCCTAAATGCTTCTGAGATTAATCATGCTGTCAGCAGCTCCTCACAGGCCTCGGAAAATGGAATTTATGACTCTGACAATTAGGCCAATGCAATGACAGCCCTGGGGCTGTCAGTGTCAGCTGTGCCTCATGGCTTTGATTTTTACTGCATCTCATGCATTGAAAGGTTGCTGGTTCAATTCCCAGTCAGGGCACATGCCCAGGTTGCGGGTTCAGTCCCCAGTCAGGCACGCACGTACGGGAGGCAACCAATTAATGTTTCTCTTTCTCGCTCCCTTCCTCTTTCTCTAAAAAACCAATACAAACATATTTACAAAAGGACTTAGAAAAGCCTCTCTAAATCATACGTGGTTTGACCAACTGGATAATTTTGTATTAGAGATCATGAGTAACACATCTTCAACAAATGTATTTCTATGTTCTGTAAGAAACTGTTAGTAGACGACATAAAGTTCTTCCTCACATAATTAGACTGAAATATAACAAGGATACAAAATAGGATACTTACCAGGCTGGGCTTAATGCCTACACTTTCGGCTGCTTCAAATGCCAACAAGAGATTCCTTTTCTAAGGTGAAAAGACAGAGAAACTGGAATTATCAACTAAAAACATACAGCTTTTGCTAAGACCACCACTGACACTCCTATATAAAAAACCCACTCCTACTTAAAAATTTAAGCCAAATATACAAACAATGGTCTCAGTATAAGAAAAAAAATTGTCAGGTTATAAATGTCACTAAAAATGACATTACTGACTCCTGACTATCAGATACATTTTTATTAATTCTGTTATTTTTTACTTTGTCTAGATACAGGGCATATACTTCTGCTGTGTGTCAACAGTTGTTTGCTGAATCATGGTGCTATATTAAAACTATCAAAGTCATGTGTACACACAGTTACATATAACCAAGTGGGAAGCTGCTCTTCCCCCGTCCTGGGTCCTGGGTCCCGGGAGAGCCTCTCTGATGCCTGTCCCTGGTTCTTCGGCGACACCTCCACAGCTCGGCGACACCCGCACACACTGTTCCTTGATTTCTAAAATAACACCTCCTCCCGGAATAAGTGAGGACTCAGGTGTCATGCACCTCTCCCTTTTCTTCCTTATAGCCACATGGCTACTTTTCGTTCTTTTATGAGTTATGTTTGTGACTTTAAATAATACCCTTATATCTCCATTTCTTATTCCATCAATTATGGACAGCACTTCCTCACTCCACTGTACACAATGAGGAAGTTCCTTCATCTTGTCAGGTTTTACTTTTTAAATTATTGAAACTGATAACACTCAGTTCCTTTTTTATAACCACATTTAAGCCTTCTCTCCTCTCTTAACAGGATAATTCTGAAAACCAGAACCAACCAACAGCACTGACCAAGCAGTGCACCCCAACTGCACTTCCTTCTCGACAGTCCGTCATGGTGCTGTGTCACTAACGCATTTCCCGCAAAGGGTTCTCCTGTGACCCAGCCCTGTCACCACCCTGTGAATCTTCAGGCTGGAGTCGTTCAGAACCCCATGCCACTTCCGCACAATCCCTGGCAGGGCGTACTCTGGCTTCCTTCTGAAGAAGGGGGTGGGACAGGCTCATTTTCTGGAAATATTCACGTAGAACAGTTCCCTCTGTACCCTCACACGTGGTCAATAACGAGGGTGAAAATAATCTTCCCTGGAATTTTAAAGGTCCTGCGCCATAATAATTTTCCCCTAATTTGTTGCTTCTTTGTGAGACTCTTTCTGGTTGTTCTTGATGTTTCTTCATCTGGATACATTTAAGAATCACTGGGTCATGCGTCCCCCCTCCATAATTTATCTGAAAGTCATTAGGATTACATTTAATGACCTTAGTAAAGTAAGTGTAATTGGGAGGCAAGTGTTTCTGTACATATTCATGTTTTATGTTCCAGTAGACTTTGCAATTTTAACCATTTAGACTTTGTACATGTTCCGTGCCCACGGCCTGCACCCGCTGCCCTGCCCGCACATCTGGTGCCTGGAGACTGAGGCTCCAGCGCTGGGTGCCAGGCCCAGGGAGCCCGTTCCTCCCCCGCAGCCGGGGGTTTGCCAAGCTGGTCATCTGCGGTCAGCAGGCCCAAGCGCCAGCGCTCTTCCTCCAAATGAAGGGCAGTGAGTGGGCATGAACTGGGCGCCTGCCATGTTTCCACACACACTCCGAGCTGTGGAGAGAGGAGCAGCCAGTGGGCTCCTGGCTCGCTCTAACTCCGCCGGACTGTGGCTGCATTCTCCTGTTCGGGCGCTAATGAGGCCTCGGTCCTTACTTCTAAAATCCTTTTGGTTAGTTTTGGGGAGGAGAGGTTTTGTAAGCCAGATTTAGGCTACCCCTAATGCAAACTGCTTTCTAAAATGTTAGAGCAATTTCCAATTTCAGCAAAAATGTATGTGCCCACTTTCCCACACCCTCACCTGTACAGAACATTATGATTTTCAAAAGTCCCTGCCACTGTGACAAGCTAAAAAGAATATTTTATTGTTTTAACTTGCATTCTTCTATCACTAATAAGTCTAAGGAACAGGTGTTTCTAAGCCTGAGGTTTTATACGGGGTCCCCCAAGGCCCCGCCGCTGGGTTCTGATGTACCTGCTGTTGTTTTCTAAGCAGAGAGCAACGAGGAAGAAGTGGTTAACGGGAAGCACCGTCTCAGAACACCGGGAACTGTGCAGTGTGTCACGGAGCATTAGGGAGAGGGGTGACCACATGTTACCCTAATTCTCTTCATCAGAGCACTGCCCCGGGCACTGCGGGAGGCCCTTAGGAGAGACCACTGCTGGGGACACAGAGTATGCCCAGGCAGAAGCGGTGCCCACAGAGGCAGCGCAGGGAGCACTAGGCCTGCGCCCATGGAGGCCAGTGCAGGGAGCACCGGGCCTGCGCCCACAGAGGCAGCGCAGGGAGCACCGGGCCTGCGCCCACGGAGGCAGCGCAGGGAGCACCGGGCCTGCGCCCACGGAGGCAGCGCAGGGAGCACCGGGCCTGCGCCCACGGAGGCAGCGCAGGGAGGACCAGGCCTGCGTCCACAGAGGCAGCGCAGGGAGCACCAGGCCTGCACCCACAGAGGCAGCGCAGGGAGCACCGGGCCTGCGCCCACGGAGGCAGCGCAGGGAGCACCGGGCCTGCGCCCATGGAGGCAGCGCAGGGAGCACCGGGCCTGCGCCCATGGAGGCAGCGCAGGGAGCACCGGGCCTGCGCCCACGGAGGCAGCGCAGGGCGAGAAGAAAGCGCCGCTTCATCAGTCCTGTCCGGAGGACAAGAGCAGTCCTGGAACCTTCCTGTTCTAGGATAGTGCACTCACCTGAAATGATGGGAGAAAGAGTCCCAAGTCCAGAATTTCTCCTCTCCTTACTATTTCATCTCAGACATAAACACACTTCATTCTATCACCTGAGCGTTCAACGTAAGTGGAGGTTTCGTCTGCTGACCGACAATATGCGTTTGATTGAAAAAGGCCACACCTTCCACGGCCTACAGCTCTCACCCTGTGACTGTCGACCTCTTCAGTGTGTGGAAGGGGTCCTCGCTAGTTTTACGAGAAATTCCTTCTCATGCACATCGTCTGGCTTGACTGTGTCCGTCGGGGAGGACCAGCTCGCGTTCTGACTTTCCGGGCTATCAATGGCTACACCACACAATTCCTAGGTTTGCCTTTAGTCGGGCGTTACAGCACAGGCCTCTCTTGATGCCCTTTCTGACATGTTGCTACACCAACCCCCATCTAGGCAGCTACACTTCACTCATCTTAACGTCGCAGGAGGCCCAGCTGGCGTAGCGCATTGGATGAGCATCAACCTATGAACCAGGACGTCACAGTTAGATTCCCGGTCAGGGCACATGCCCGGGTTGTGGGCTCAATCCCCAGTGTGGGGGTTGCAGGAGGCAGCCCGTCAATGATTCTCTCTCATCAATGATTCTCTCTCATCATTGATGTTTCTCTCTCTCTCTCTCTCTCTCTCTCTCACTCTCCCTCTCCCTTCCTCTCTGAAATCAATACAAATATATTTTTAAAATGTCAGAGGGGTACGTTTCATTCAAATTACCTTGCCCCCTTGGAAACCCAGCTTCAAATCTGCCTCCTTTAGGAAAAGCGTCCCTGGCCGCCCTCCCCCCCAGCCGGATCCCAGAGGCTCACCGTACTCAGCGCACACTGTGGGCTGGATTTGCTTGTGTTTACACATCGTTTTGAAAACATTTATGAGTAACTTTAATACGTTTACGGCAAGCTGGCCGTAAGCCGCCCTCAAGCATGCTCACCGCAGCAGGCAGTGGGCAAGTGACCCCACCGGAGTGCAGCTGCCTTCCTCTGGGAGTGGGGGGGTCACCGGGGAACAGCTGAGGCCTGGGAGGCGAATGCTGCTCTGACAGGAGGCTGGGAGCCACAGGCCCCACAAGGGCTCCAGCTGCCTGGAGCGACTCCTCCACCTCCGCACACCTGACAGCAGCGCGGACTCCGGGAGAGGAGGCTGTGCCAGGACCCTGCAGCTGAGCACTGGGCAGTCTGGGAGCCCCACCCCACCCGACCCGCAGGGCGCTGGGGAGACCACACAACCCAGCGCCAGGAAGCGCCTCCTGCGCTCAGAGCACCATGTGCAGCACACACTCGGGCTCCTCGTTTCCCCACAGTCCTCACCGACTGGGGGCAAAGAGCCTGGGGGTGCGGCGCCTGGGACGAGCACCCACACTCTCAGGAAGGCACCGGTGGGTACAGTGTGGTAAGTGCCAAGGCTCACACTCACACCCTCTTAGCGAGGTCTCCCGATCGCTTTGGGTTGTGTTACTCCCATTGTTTACTCAGTTATCTTCGTGACGTCACACGGAAAAGGCAGAGCCTGAAAAATGAGGGGCAGGAGGGGGATGGCGCCGAGGTCGCTGCTGGACGGGGCTTCGCTGTGAGGGCTGCGACCGCCCCGCCTGGTGGTCCCCCCCTGTGCCCTGCGGACGCCCTCGCTCACCCCTCTACCCCGCAGGCTCCTGGATCTGCCCTCCTGCTACTGACAGACGCTGGGCTTTAGAAGCAGAAATGTTATCTGGTCCTCGTCCACAGGCCCCTAAACCCTTGTGATCTCTTATATTGGAGCCATGGGGGTGCCTAGAGCATGTTACAGTGTGTGTTTCATCTCGGTTCCAAGGCTTCAGAGCGAGGAAGGTGAAAGGGTCTGAGAGCACGCGCGGGGGGTCCCACGCGGCCCACGCCCGGTATCGGAATCCTGGTTTCTACTCCACCCCAGCGTGTTCCAGAGAAGCAGGGGGCGATGGGGCTTACCTTCTCCTGACTGCTCAGCTCCTGGTACGGGATGTGGGCAGGCAGGTAGGTGTGGAGGAGCGCGCAGAAGGCCAGGCCGTCGCTCCAGCTGCTGCTGAAGTTGGTGATGTCGATGTTCTGTGGGGAAAGCAGCGTTACTGTCAAACTGCATCACAGAATCTGAACGAGACTGTGCCAGGGCGGCAGCCGTCGCTGGGCTTGCTGTGGGCAAGACAAGACACGACGCAAGTCTGCTGGGAGTGCCTTTAACTTTGGTACCAGAACAGCATGCTGCGGCCCAAATCTGCTCACAGGACAGCATGAGGAAAAGGCTGTAGAACTCACACACCCGGGATTTCTGTCTGCCTCTGGCGGATGGGAGGCCGACCACCTGACTAGCTCTGCACGTCCCAGTGTTGCCAGGGACGTTGCTAGGGACGGGCAACCCCATTATCAATGGCTGGACCAGGACAGCCCCTCAGGGCCAGCCTGGCCGCTCCTACGCCACACTCTCTCCTGCAGCGGGCGGCTTCCAGCAGGACACACGCCAGTGCTCAGCCTCACCTGCTAGCACACCACGCACGGGACCCTGGGGCTCATGGGGCAAGGAGCTCCCTGCAGGACAGGCAGGAGCCCCGGGAATAATGACAAACCCAAGGCCAGCTCCATACGGCAGTCCTCGGGGGTGACGGGTTCCCACGGTCCCCCGGGGTTCTGGGAGCCGGGTGCGCCTCCACCTCTAAATCCTCACCCCGGTCACCACTGCTGCTTTCTCCCGACTCTGCTGATCCTAACAGCATTTCTTCCCGGCTCACAAAGCTCGTCCCAAACGAAACGTCAGGTTCCAGGCCCTCGACCCCTTTCCCGCGCAGGCTGAGGTGACTGGCTGCGTAAAGGCAGGATGCAGCCTGTGCCAGGGCCGGGGAGGGGTACGCAGTCCCGCTGCTCTGAGCACTTCTGCTCCGACCACAGGACTCGGGGAGTGGGGGGCTCCTTCCTGCCCTCTCCCCGCAGCCGCTGGGGAGGCAGGGGGCTCTGCCTCCTCAGAACCGCGGGAGGTAGGCAGCCACACCAGCCACCGAGAGGGGAGGCGGTGATGGCCAGTTTTCTGGAGTGGACCTTGGCTACTTCTCCCCCAGCTCGAGCCCAATGCAAGCTTCCCGCCCCCAGTCCGCACTGCCCTGGACGGCAACCCGTGGTCTGCAGAGGCAGTGGCACTAGAGGGGCAGGTGTGAGGGGAGCAGGCCAGGAGGCCCAATCGCACGGGAGACGTACAGAATTCTCAGTGTGTGTAAGGACGGAAACGTGGCCCAGTGGCCCAGAGGCTGAGCATTGACCTATGAATCAGGAGGTCACGGTTCGATTCCCGGTCAGGGCACATGCTCGGTTGCAGGCTCAATCCCCAGTGTGGGGCAGTGCAGGAGGCAGCCAATCATTGATTCTCTCTCATCACTGATGTTTCTATCTCTCTCTCCCTCTCCCTTCCTCTCTCTAAAATACACACACACACACACACACACACACACATTAGGTCCTCGGGTTATGTCGGAGATCTGTTCCTACGGCATGACATAACATCATTTTCACCGTAGGTCAGAACCCACCTACATAAGCACCTACGTCATTCACATGGAGCACATACACAGCAGTAATGAAATGAAACAGTAAAAAAAATTTAAAAGAAAGATAATAATTCCTGACCTTTACTTGTGGTAAATAAATAACAACATAAGGCATATATGTACATATGTCAAAATGACAAACTTTTTTTTTATAAATAAATGGGAGATAGCGACATAACCACGAAACGACATACTTCAAGTCCGACGTATTCCTGAGGACTGTCTGTATATCTCTATATATATGTGTATATAAATATCTAATATGAAAAGTGTTCCCTCGGGAGTTTGACCGGAGACAGGGAGTTCAATCGCTCACTATGACATGCACTGACCAACAGGGGGTGGCGCGGGACATGGTGGGCGACCAGTGGTGGCAGCGGGGCGCTGAGGGAGTGAGGGAAGGAGAAGGCGGGGAGGCGGGGAACCGCGTGGTGGCGGCACGTGGGCGGCAAGGGAAGGAGGAGGCGGGAGGCAGGGTAACTTGATCGGCCCTGATCGCTGGCCAGGCCTAGGGAACCTACCTGTGCATGAATTTTGTGCACCGAGCCTCTAGTATATCTATCTACTTATATAAAAACCCTGAGTGTAACATCACGACCTGAGGCGCGACCAACCGGAAGGAAGTCAGTCCTGCAGGGGTTGTCTTGGAAATGGCTGCACCCTCCCCCAAGCTGTTTCCTGGAGCTGTTTCCGGTAAGGGTGAGGTTTGAGGCAGGAACCAGCCCTCGGAGCATGGAGGCATATCTTTATAAAGTGTGCCGCGCCAGCACAGCCAAGGGTGAACCTGAGTGGGGGTGGCTGAAAGGCTTAGAAAAGACAGACAAGGGAATGAAAGCTGGGTCTCGGTGGGACGCTGCTTCTCTGAGAGACAGCGACCACGCCCACAGCCGTGTCTTTATTTTATAGCAGATGCCATGAGGCAAAGTAAGGGAGTGACCAAGATGTTTACAACATTCTCCTGGGTTTCAATCCTACTCAACTACATGCACCTGAACTCTATCAAGCCGACATTACTCAGGCACGTGGGGCCATGTGTTTGGACCATAGGTTCAAGCTTACAACTATAGCTGTTGGCTATAATTGTGCTGGGAGGGCCCTGCCCTCCAAGCTGGGGCTTGCACGTGGCAATGAGAGAACTGTGCCCTCTCATCAGTCCAAGGCTTGAAGCTGTCCAAAACACTGTAGCGGCTCCCCACAATAAAGGTTTAATACATTATATTAGAGGTTGTGGTGGTACTGTTTTACACACAGCATCTACAGGAATTGCTGCAATTTACTTCTCGATGGAAGAACCTTTCATTCCCAATATAAATGACCAATTCCATTAAATGAAACTTCAATTTCTAGACTCGATATAAACAGTGAAGTTGCTAAAACTATTAAAAAGGCCCAACTTCTCATTATTGATGAATGCATCATGGCATCCAGTCATTCTATAAACACCATAGACAGATTACTAAGAGAAATTATGAATTTGAATGTTGTATTTGGTGGGAAAGTTCTCCTTCTTGGAGGGGATTTTTGACAATGTCTCAGTATTGTACCACATGCTATGGGATCGGCCATAGTACAAATGAGTTTAAAGTACTGTAATGTTTGGGGATGATTCAGAAAGTTCTCTCTTAAAACAAATATGAGATCAGAGGATTCTGCTTATAGTGAATGGTTAGTAAAACTTGGAGATGGCAAACTTGATAGCAGTTTTCATTTAGGAATGGATATTATGGAAATCCCCTGTAAAATGATTTGTAATGGATCTATTATTGAACCTACCTTTGGAAATAGTATATCTATAGATAATATTAAAAATATATCTAAACATGCAATTCTTTGTCCAAAAAAATGAGCACGTTCAAAAATTAAAGGAAGACATTTTGGTTATACTCGATGGAGATTTTCACACATATTTGAGTGATGATTCCATTGATTCAACAGATGATGCTGAAAAGGAAAATTTTGCCATTGAATTTCTTAATAGTATTCCTCCTTTGGGAATGCTGTGTCATAAATTAAAATAGAAAGTGATGCAATCATCATGCTATTGAGAAATCTCAATAGTAAATGGGGTCTTTGTAATGGTACCAGATTTATTATCAAAAGATTATGACCTAACATTATCAAAGCTGAAGTATTAACAGGATCTGCAGAGGGAGAAGTTGTTCTGATTCCAAGAATTGATTCATCCCCATCTGACACTGGCCTCCCATTTAAATTGATTCGACGATGGTTTCCTGTGATGCCAGCATTTGTGATGACTATTAATAAATCACAAGGACAGAGTAGGCATATTCCTACCTGAACCCGTTTTCGCACATGATCAGTTATATGTTGCTTTCTCTCGAGTTTGAAGAGCATGTGACGTTACAGTTAAAGTTCTAAATACTTCACAAGGAAAATTAGTCAAGTACTCTGAAAGTGTTTTCACTCTTAATGTGGTGTACAGGGAGATATTAGACTAAGTTGAATCACTTTATCAGTCATTGTTTGCATCACTGTTGTTTTTATATCATATTTTTGTTGTTTTTATATCATGTTTTTGTTGTTTTCATATCATGTTTTGTCGTTTTTATATCATGCCTCTGTTGCTGTTATATCCTTTTGTTACTGTTTATTAATAAATTTATATATTATTTTCATATACATTTTACTAATTTCCTTTCATCTCTCACACTTCTATTATACAGAAAGGGCAAAGAGCAATATTAAAATATTTCTGCTAATTAATTCCCCTTTAATGTGCACGAATTTCGTGCACCAGGCTACTAGTATCTACACAAATAAAAGAGAAACATGGTAATTAGCGTACGACCGCTACCCTTCCCATTGGCTAATCAGCATATCCTTATGCAAATTAACTGTCAGCCAAGATGGCAGCAGGCAGCCATGCACTGAAGCGAACAGGGAGGCTTGCTTGCTCCAGTGATGGCAGACTCCAACGTTCCCCGCCTGACTTGCCGGCCTCTGAGCTGCAACTCTAAAAAACAGGGTAACAAATATAGAAGCTAAACAAAACCCCAGAAACCAGCTTTCAGTTAGCCGGGCTTCAGCCAGCCGGACCGCAACATTGTATCAAATACAGAAGGTAAAGGCCAGAAACCTGCTTTCAGCAGCCAAGGCCTCAGAGCTAAAGCTGGCCCAGAATAGAAAAAAGAAAAAGAAAAAAAGGAGCAGTTGGGAGCTTCAGTCACCCGCCAGCCGGAAAACAGCCCTCAGCCCCTTAGCCAGACTGGCCAGGCACCCCAGTGGGGACCCCCACCCTGATCCAGGACACCCTTCAGGGCAAACCAGCCGGCCCCCACCCATGCACCAGGCCTCTATTCTATATAGTAAAAGGGTAATATGCCTCTCGGCATCGGGATCAGCGGAGCAGCGAGGCCTCCCGGCACCGGGATCAGCGTGACGGGGCAGCGCCCAAACCCCCTGATCGCCCTGCGGCTCTGTGTGTGACAGGGGGCGGGGCCACAACCTCCCTATCTGCCCTGCTCTGTTCGTGACAGGGGAAGGCGCCCCAGCCCC